ACCAAATCTGATTGAATTCATCATCCTCTAGAGAAATTAGACCTCCAAATGATTTGCTAAAACAGCTGGCCAGGTAAAAGAGATTCTCATTAGTGCTTTAATTGTAAGAAAGTGGCACCGTGCATTCACTGCTTACAAAGCAGAAAAGAATCCACTTTTATAAATGTCAAAGCAGCAGGAAGAATTTGAAACAGAGCTGGGATTTTCTTACACACAAGAGTTAATCAATGTGGAAACACATATTCATAGAAAACAGATCATTCTTTCTGGTGGTTTTTCGGAGGCTGCTCATTGAATATTGCTGATTTTGACTCCAATAGCATCCTAGGAATTGCTTCAAATAAGGTACATTACAAGATCCAAATAAATGTGTGAAGTGATGATTCATTTTCAAAATTCCACTGCTTTGACTGAATTTTAATTAGATTCAGTTAATATTTGCCCCTGGTAGAAGGTAACCTTTCCTCTAGCCTGATTATATCACTTTTTCATGTTAATTCATTCCTTTATTGTGGAAATAATAATTCCCCCCGCCTCCCTTTTCCTTTCACTGCAACTATGCAAAGGGATGAAACCAGTAGCAAGGACTGGTCACTTCCTTTATACAAAGCCATGTAATGCTAAGATAAATCCTGGAGATGTCTTAACATATGACATCACGATATCTGATGGGGAACTGAATTGACAGATACCTTTAACCTTAGCATGTGTTCTTCAGAAATTGGTACAGTGCAATAAGTTAGTGAGAAACAAACCTTGGGCAAAAGAAGCAGGAAGCAGTGCTAAGTTTTAAGGCAAAAATCCTTGCCAAAAACATCTACATTTCACATTCTCTATTTAGAATTCCAGGCTGATATGAATTTTTAAATAGCAAATTGAGGATACTCCACTTCTATTTAACCAATATTAAAGAGCAGCAGAAAAAAAAGCTTCTTAATACAGTAAGGAAGCTTTGTTAAATAGCTCTAAATCTGGTCTCCTCATAGGGAGCCCTATCTCATGTTAAACATCATCTAGCTGGCTGTGCATCACAGTTCTGGTTTTGTTTGACAGCCTGTTCAATACATTTACTGGGACTGACTGGTGCACATGTTTGTGTTGCACTGTGCGAACTATTTGGACCCGAATTCTGTTATTACTCTTAATTGATGTGTAAGTTTCTACTCCAAAGTACATGCAGTCCATTTCTTTACATTTTAACATCTCAGATACGTTCACATAAACCACAATAGTGTCCTTGGTTTCATTTGCTTTTTTCCTTTATTTATTAATGAAAAGAGTTTAGGACTCATAGGAGTGATTTTTAAAAATTCTTTTAAAACGTTAAACATTCTTGTGAGCATTTTCTGAAGGTTCTGAAGGTTCTAAAGGTTCACTGAGAAAATCCTTATTTGCCTGTAGGCAGGAAGAAAGGATTGTTTGGTTTGTAGCCGTTCCTGTTCCTTTTCTGAAGAGCTATTTAGCTAAATGCCTAATGCAACAATATGGTTTTACATCTGTGATTGTGCATAGATTTACTTGAGCAGATTCTTAGTGCAACTCTTTCTGTTCCTATTCTACTCCTAAATCACTATTCCTGCTAAAATCATGCTAAGATAGAATATTAAAAATTGCCATCTCTTTCTGTGGATAAGATTTACAAAATTGTTATGGTATGTAATTGTTTCTTCAAGGAAATTTACTCTAGTTTTTCACTTGTGTATCTGAAATCAGCTTCTGTTTGCCATAACTGAAAGCTGTGTTTCCCAGAACTGCCCTTGTTCACTAAAGAGAAGCTGTTGCCTTGAGTTTGTTCTTTCTAGAATAGAAAGGAAAATGGAATTTAAGGAATGATCAGAGACACACATCTTCCAAATGAAAATCTTGCCTCTACTTAGACACACAAATACCAGTGGATATTTAGTTACACCAAGGGACAGATAATTAAGTAAATCCACAAGGTAAATTCTTTCTCAGAACTGTTCTTTATCAGGACAGGTTTCTCAAAAACAGGTCAATTTTCCCCCCCAAAAATTCTATGGATTTAAGGGTAGAATATATTAGAGTTAAATTATGACCCTTGTCAGAAATGGCTTTTTTATCCTTTTTCTTGAATGCATATTAAAAGCAGTACCATGAATTTAGTGCTTGCCTATTTCAGTGAGTCAGTTTCCTCTATAACTCTGTCAAGAGCAAATACATCTTCCTACATTTGCTTTGCATCTCTCAATGCACATCCATAAATATAATCAGTATATCTCCTTTGTGCTCTTTTGTCTTGTTACATTTATTTCAACTTCATAAATTCTAAATGCTTCTTCCTAACAGAGCATTGTACTATAGTTCTGGGTTTTGTACAAACTTACTGTTTTATTGTTTTAAATATCTCAGCTAACTACATTTATTGTGATTTAGATCAAATAAGAATGATTTTCAGCTACAATAAATCTGAATATATTTGAATGCTGCTCACATTCAAATATATTTAATTGGGAAATGGAACATTTTGTTTGTTCCTAAGGCATTTCTTAAGGCATTTTGCTGACTCACACATCAAACCTCAAAATTGTGTTGTTCTTTTTTTTTGTGCTTACCTTTTTGTTCTGTTTATTAAGCTACTGATTTTATGATCTGTTATGCTCTTCAGTTTCATTCCTGCTTCTCAGACAATTCTCTCTTACTCAGTTTTGCTGCAATGTCAACTCCAACCATGGGTCAGAAATATTTTTCTTTAAGATCTTTATGTTTCCTTTATTCCTCAAGCACAAACACCACTAGAGTTCACGTCTCTTACCGAGTGAGCCAAGCCTTGCTGCATGGTGTCCCTTGGGTCGAGCTCAGCCTAGGAAATCCATGTAGCTATGCTGTTAAATTTTCATTCACAGGTATCCCTGAACATCCATTTCATGCTGGGCACACTCCAAACCCAACAAAACATATTTTAAAGCCATGGAACAAATGAGGATCTTTAGCAGATTGAAGGTAAACTCTGGGAAAACTACAGTATATCACAGAGACAGAGCAGGAGAGGACAATGACGTTGCCGTCATTCTCATCCCTGGCATTAGGAGGGAATTAAAATGCCCTGACGTGCCTTCAGCAGTCCCTGGGCTTGGGGGAAAATTCCTTTCTGACCCAAAATGAGCAACTGTGTAACTATATATAGAAGAAAATAACCATATACAGAAGACATGAATAAATACAGCAGTATGTCAAGGAGAGGAAAAAAGGTAAAACCTGGTGCTCATAAATGACCAGAATAAGCCCTGAAACTAAGAATTATGCTTTGCTTATCTATTTCTATTTCTAGACTTGGTAGACTCAGTCCCAAAAGAGAGAATTTAACACTGATCCTCAGTGTTTTAGTGACACTGGCATTATATGAAGGTCGTGAGCTGTGACTTTGTCCTCCTGTAATACAAGTAGTAATAATAGCAAAATCATATTTGACTAAGAGACGTTTGGGATGGGAGCAGAGGAAGGAAATGACTCTGACTATTCAGGAAAAATGCTTAGAATGGAATGAGGTTGCAGGGGGAATTCATCTTTTTGGGTTTCTATCCAATTGACTCATTTTTCTCTTTGGGGAAAAGCTAAAGAAAAGTATTTATTTTCATCTCTGGATTTTCAATCTCTGCATCTGTACAGCCCCACTATTCTCATCTACCTTTTCCAGGCAATTCATATTACATGGGCATTCTGCATGGGAGTGTGTTACAGATATTGTTACTTGGCTGGAAGAAGTGCCAGATCAAAAAGTGAGCTGAGAACAGTGGGAGCACAGATGCACACCAAATGCTGTGTGCCAGATGGGTGACATGCTGGGTTACACATATGATATCTGAAGGTAAGGGGTCCTAGTTGGAAGCAGCCTTTTATCTCAATGACTGGGAGTGAAGATTGCTGCAATGACTCCATAAAGCTAAAACCCCTTTCACATGTGTACGAGGAAGAGTCAGTTCCTCAGCTGTATGAATCCCATGTATTTCTCCATCATTTTTAAATATAATCAACAAATTCCACAATTTTCTATGTCTCTGTTCTCTGAATAAATGGTCCAACTTTGTGAAAATGAAACTATTACGGAAACCAAATATGTCTGTTCTAAAACATATGAAGTACCTTAACTGAAGCTTATCCTTTAAAAAAACAAAAATCAAAGAATCACAGAATCATAGAATTGCTTGGTTGGAAAAGACCTCTGAGATCATCGAGTCCAACCATACCTGTCCACTAATAAACCATATCTCTGAGCACCCCATCTACCTGTCTTTTAAACATCTCCAAGTATAGTGACTCAACCACATCCCTAGGCAGCCCGTTCCAGTGCCTGACAACCCTTTCAGTGAAAAAGTATTTCCTGACATCCAATCTGTACCTCCCCTGGCCTAACTTAAGGCCATTGCCTCTTGTTCTAGCACTAGTTAGCTGGGAGAAAAAAATCAAAGACTATATTTTCAAAATAACATTTCAAACTATTTATTTAAAAGAGAAAATAATGTAGGTTTAATATGCTTAAATATATGCTCTATTAATCAATTCTGAATGGCATTTTCTTAAAATACAAAATAATTAAAGAATAGTAAGTGTTGGTCACTGGCAACTACAAAACAAGATTGCAGGTATTTTAATGGATTTCTATTAAGAACTGTGAAAGCACAGAAGGTTTCACATCACTCTTCATGATAACCTAAAGAAGTTGTAAGTG